TAATAAGTTAAGTTTATATAATCCATTATATCAATATGAATATCATTAAAAACAGCATAATTACTTTCTAAGGTACCAGGTCCATCATATACAATATTACACCGAATTTCTGTATATGAATAAATAAATCAAAAATCAAATCAAATTCAAATCAAATTATTTTTCTTAAAAGAGCAACAAATAAATTATAATAATACACATACTTTTAATTGTGGCTACACTAAAAAACAAGTTATGTTGTACTGGTTCCTCTACTAATTTCAATCTTCCCAAAGTTGTAAATTCTATTAATAAAATTTTGGAGCGTTTCTGCATAAAATCTTGCAGGAAATAATTGTACTGATTTTCCAACGATTTTCTACTTTTTGACTAGTGAGGCTCAGCACGTCATTAACTATATTTCTATATTAGATATGTATTTTAGTACACAACTCCCTCTCCCATGACAATCACTAAAAAAAAGTAAATTATATTTATTTATGATTGATATACACCACACATTATTTTTCGAAAAAAAACCAAAATTCAACTAACATGAATCCATTAGCAAACAATTACTGTCTTGATCTGTACAGTTCGCATTGGATGTGTTTCTATCCCACGTACTCCAAAATCTAAAACTTCAAACCAAGCAATTGAATTATTTTGTAAAGTTGCAACGCACCACTCATCAAATTTCACTTGGCTATAATTGATTGATGGAAATTTACATAATTATTTGTTAAAATATTTAAAGATCGATTAAAATATAATTTGTTCCAATTTTAATTTCAAAAAAATAATTATCAAATAATATCGTACTATGTAGTAATATTAATAATAGTATTGATATTAAAAAAAAAGAAATAGATTGAACCAAAATAATCTTCATAATATACTGTTTTTGAGAGAAAATTATAAACTTTTTGATCAATAAGTTGGTTAATTTTTTTAATTTTTATATTAATTGATTTTTTATTATGTTTTAATTGAATTTTTCAATAAGAATAAATAATTCATTTCATCAAATGTTAGCTGGCTAGAATTTTTTTACTATATTCATCAGCAGTAATTTTATTTATTTTTGGATACAAATTTCTGATTGGCCAATTTAAATTTCACGCACAACGTTTAGTAAAATAATAAAAAACCCCGATTTTTAGTGAATTTATACAAAGTATGATATTTGTCTACTAAATTATTAGATAAAAAATTTATTCAAGTTCTTAGCCGGCTAAGGTTTTTCTATCGGTTAACATCACTAGGTCACACAAGAAAGAAATTACAAAAGAAATGGTAGACCAAAATTGCTCGGTGACTATGAAAAAAAAAAATTTTTGCTTTAAAAGAAATTGTCGCCAATAATAATAGAATGGTATAAAAAGTTATCGTAATTAATCCACTAGCTTAGATTTTTTAATTAAAACAATCCGGAGTATCAAAGCCACCTCTTGACGAAATTCAACGCTAAAAACGATTTTAATGATGTATCAATAGACGAAACTGGAGAATAAGACGATGGAAATGTGTCGTATTAATATGGTGTGATTGATGGGAGTGGACTCGTTTTACAATATTTGGTAGTGATGGACCAACACGAATTTGGCGCGAAAATGGGACTCGTTTTAATATGAAAATTTGTCACTACGGTAAAGCATGACGGGGGGAGGAATTATGATTTATGGCTGCTTTACAGCTAAAGCATTAGGGCAATTGGTAGAGTAGAGGGGAAACTATAAAGATTATATAAATACAATACAATTTTTTAAAATAAAGAAAATAAGACCTTGGATAATTAATTATATTTGAACCGGACGTAAAAAATAACCATCTTAATCTATAATCATAATAGTGTCAGTATTAGTATTAGTGTATCAAAAAAAAAATCCATAGTTTCATCAATTGATAATTTATATGGAAGCTAATTGTTATAATATACTATTACAATACAATTATAGTAACTATTACTAATGTTTCTTTTGTTACCATTACTAACATTCCTTCTTTTATTATTAGATTTCATAAAATGAAAAAATCAAAACGCGTTCGAATTGTCTTTAGTGCCTGAATTCGAAACACACATGAGTGGGTCAATGTTGGTATGTAGAGCAACTTTTACATGCACACAAGTTGTGTTAACTTGATGATGCTTTATGGCTTTGAAACTAACTACATATAATAGTAAATGCTTAATAATAAAATAAAAACGCACTTAAGCTGTCTTTAATGTCGAGTTGAAATACACATAGGCTGGTCAATATTGATACGCAGGACAGACTTTGCATAGTTTATAAGACAGGGTTGGTTAGGCACAAGTTTTTGTTTTGAAAAAACCAATGCTGAAATTCTTTTATTATCGAAATCACTGAATTACGATGAATCAATCGCCAGAGTTTGACTATGATGAATTTTTTTTTCTATGATGTTGAAGTTGTTCATTAAATAATGCAATTTTCATTTTTCAATTTTCAAGATTTATATTAGCGAAATAGCACACGCTACCATAAAGTGAAGCGGATCCTTTTTTTCAAAAACTGTATTTCAACCTGCAAACAAGATTTCTATTCGTAATACTACTTTTTAATTCATAATACATCTCAATCTTAATTGAATTGTTCGTTTTATCCGTTTGATCCGGGTAAAGTCTTATTTTTTGATGCAATTCGAATGCTCTGATTGATTACGAATCATGAATCTGGTAAAATCCTGGCCCAAATAGTGACCATTGACACGTAAATCTTGGATCCAGATCATTTTCAACCACTTTCTTTGGAGTAAAAGAACATTTGGTACCAAATATGATGAAAGTATAACAAAATGTACTTACCTTATAACAAAATAAACTTCCTTTACTAGTGGACAGTCGTTATTAATTATATTATATTTGGTATTATATTTTTTGAAAGGTAAAGATTGAATTTAAAGGTGCAGAACGCCTAAAAAGTCCTAGAAATAAGGTATTCTGCTGGAAAATACTCTGCCTCTAGCAAACTTTAATAGTCTATAGCCTTTAAATGATATACATGTATGACATACCAGCTTTACCATAAAAGATCTATTTGAAAATGGAAGCATCGAATCGTCATCGGAAACTGCTGGAAGGGCTAAGTTGAAGGAAATGAAAAACCCGCCCAATTCAAACAGAACCAACCATCAGACATTATTATTTTACAGAGACAACAACTTCATTTTATCAATGGTGTTTACCCTTGTGATTTATAAAAAAATATCAATCATCTATATTTGGATTATTTGGGCTTATGTTGTTAATGTTATATTAGTATTTGGTATTATTTGATTATTATTGATTTGATTGATTGAATTATTGTTACTATTGTGAGAGTAAATGTTTAGTTGCTCAATAAAGTCTTTGAAATGTCAATCAATTGATTGAGTTGTTTGCATTTCACAAATTATGATGACATTGAAACGCAGTTTCAGATCATCCTTTTTTTTATGGGTAATTTTGTGTACCCTGTAAAATATCCATCCAATTGGTAATTTCTATTTGTAATCAACAATAAACAAATAAACAAACAATATTAACAATAGTATTATTATAATTTTTATTTTATTTTTTATTTTTTTTAAAAAAAAAAATTTATTAAAGAGTATATACAAGAGAGAGCTTACAACATTCAAGATGGCCGTTATAGCCACCCATACCATAGACGCACTACTGCAATGCAGCAGTCTAAAGAGGGATAAAACCCAATGCGCGATTGGGTGCTTGTTTACGCGTTGAAATCCTCATTAGTGTATGGAACTCTGCGGGGCCCTTTGAATGGGCGGCTAGTAAGACGAACCTCTTAGGGACTCGGCCCCCGTAGTTTAACTATGCTGATACCTACCTTCATATAATCAGCACAGAACTTATTATTTTGAGAGTTATTACATGCGTTAAGGCATGAAAATATTCACGTTTTTACTGTGGTGGGGCAAGTTTATAGTTATTCGAACATCGGCGAAAACTATGGCCTCTGTGCTCATAGGAATGGTTTTTACGTGATTTATTGAATGCTGTGTGTATTAACTCTCGCTGCGATTAGTTACGAACACAGTACCTCTTCCCCCAAAACAACTCCTCCTGGTGTTGGAAAATTTTTTTTTTGTGGTCATTTACCACGTTCCAACACTGAATTAACTAGTCGTATCAATTCTGCATGGTATTTATTTAATATCACCTTGCTGTGGTAAAAAATAAGTGTGATGCAATTTGTTGTTATACCAAGAGTTTATTATTTAAATTAATTATATGGTAGATAAGTAAGCGAATATAGCTAAGTATTAATCGTAATTAACTATTTTCAAAAATAATTTCACAAATGGTTATAGTGGGTGATTATTAATACTCTATTATTTCATTTATTCATTAACAATAAAAGGGGAGATGGCTTACCACCACCACGAATGCGGCTTATTTCAATTTATAGAAACATATGTCCCGGAAATGCAGTTGTGGGTAAGTAGGTTATGAATAATATCAATAAAATTCAAAAATCGTGACGATTATTGTTCTTATATTCACGAAACATTGCAAAGCCACTAACTTGGTGCATTTTGGATAGTGTGGTTTCAAAATTATAGTTTTGACGTTCGTTTCTTCAAAGTAGTTTTAAAAGACTTTCTCCTACAATAATACCTACGTCTTGAAAGTTTTTATGCACTTATGTCAGGTGGAAAGGTACCACATATATATTATTATTATTTATAATCATTGCAGTTCATAACATGTCTTTCACGATCAGTAAAAGCACAATCCATAAAATTATTTGTGCAGGTATCCTTCCTTTATAACAGTCAAACTTGCTGGAATCGTAAGGTATTCTAATCACACTGGAACGGTTAATCCACGGTAATGAACAGTTAGTTCGATGCATCCCGTGTGTTTTTTTTTCTCTTGGGACAGTTAGTCGCAGTTGTGAATAACCTATCCTGTATTTTTTTAGAGTTAAACTTCCCCGGTAAGGAATAAGAAGCGTAAGAAAAAAGGTAATCTTGCTAGAATTCCTAGTCTAGAAATGTCTGCTTTATTTACAAAGTAGAAATATACGAAAGGGATCCAAGAGAAGTTCATTGACGATACCCACCCTCCAAATAATGGAAGGAACGATGAAAAAACGAAATCATCTACTGTGAGATAGGACTGACTTGGTTCTAGAGTTTCTATTCGAACAAAATAACGATATTAATACACATATGGTTAACCCAGTCACAATTAAGATTATTTTCTTTATCAATTTATTTTTCCTTGGCCTTTGTATATAGTAACAATAATCATAAATAATAGTAGATGACATTTTTCTTTTCTTTTCTCGAGGCATAGTACTGGCAATCGTAGTAGTAGTAATATATATAGACTATAAATATAATTATTGTAATTTATATTATCTTGTTAAAGAAAGAAGACATACATTTTCAAATATTAATAAATTTTTAATTCAAAATCATTCAATAATATTTGTATTGCTATTACGAATAGAAACACTACTTGGGTTCCTGATTATTGTCAATCAATCCCTTTATATCGTGGCATCATCAATGACGCGTTGGCAGGCATTAGTATTGGTGGATCGTACAATATAATAAGAATTATATATAAATTCTGCTCGATATATAATGATAATCATATAGTGATGTAATGAAGTTTTGGTCTATCATTACTTACTTGTATTTGCATAATGATATAAAAGTAAATTTTGTGCATTCAACTAATTAAATTTTTATTAAAATAAAAAGTAAAGACCGGGATAAAGAAGGAAAAAAACTTGCAAAACTACACGAGAAAGTATTATGATATTGTTTGGTGAGCTAAATTCGACAGCAATCAAAACACTGGTGGTGCAGCATCCGCGAAGAAAATGTTGAAACTGGTGAAAGTAGTTCTGCAGCATTGCCTGATGATTTGAGAGAATATAACTTTAGATCATTACCTGGCGAAAATTCTTCTCTTGGATCATCAGATAATGCTGCAAGTAATTCAGAACTATTTTTACAACAAGGAGAAGTAGAAAAACAGATGGACAAAGAAAGACAGATCATGCAAGTTTATTTTCATTCTTCGATCTTCCACACCTGAGACAAGATGAAATGTTTCAACAGCAGTTTAAATTGGTTTAGAAGACTTTTTACAACAAGAACCATCTCCTAAAAGAAAAAATAATAATAGTGGTAATAGTAATAATAATAATAACGATAGTAGTAGGGGTAGTAATACCTGCAAGCTTAGTACTAGAGTTTCTGTTCGTATTGCAAATTCTTTTTCGGATTATTTGTAATACAAATCAATCTTAATTCGAATTATTTTATTATTCTTCTTTTATTCTTTTTGTTCGTTTATTCGAATAAACTTTAACAAATAATTCGAATAATAGCGACTAATTAGGATAACAATAGTAAATAGTAATAATAACAACAACGATAATAGTAGTAACAATAATATAGGCAAGTTTGAGTACCATTCGTTTTTTCATCAACTGAAATTTATTGGAGTCTCTTTTTAAAGTATGTTATAAAAGGAAAGTGATAAACGAACTAACTTTTTTTATTGTCGTCAAAAAATTAGTAAAACAAGTTGTTTAATATAGGAACGCGATGATGTCATTGCTAACGTTACCCGTTAACACTTTTTAAACGGACTGTGCCACGCAAATAGCGTTTAAATGTATATAAAAATGATTTTTGGAGGAAGGAAAGTTTGGAAGCAAGAATCTACACTTAGGAATGGTGTTGTCATCGTAGCAATATAAATAAGAAAATATCTAAACATACCCGGATCATGTGTTTGTGCAACTTAACATAAAAATAAACTTTTTTTCATATTTATACATGACATAAAAAAAAATAAACTTTATTCTTTATAATTTCACCTTCAACAACAAAATTTACACTCATTTGATTTTACTGATAAGTTGAATCTGGAAGAAGGACTTACTTTCGTTTCGTGGGAACAGGCAAAATTATTTTTTGATAATTTTGCATTACAAGAGGGTTTTAGTTATAGGATTAGACGAAGCGAATCTGAAGATGGTATTGTAACAAGGTTAACATATGAATGTACAAAATCAGGCAAATACAATTCACAAATTACAACAGATCCTACAAGACATCGTAATGTCCATTCTCAAAAAACAGAATGTCCATGGCATATTAATCTTTCTTTTCCAAAGTCAAGTAATGTAATAAAAATTAATTCCTTTGTAAATGCACACAATCATTCTTTGAACACAATGATAGGTGAAATAGTACCTCAATTTCGGAAACTTACTTCTTCCATGTTAAAAGATATCAAAAATATGTAGTTGAAGGATGGATTCAGCTTCAATATATACATTGCTAATTAACGATTATCCACAAAACACCATTAATAAACGCGACCTTTACAATGCTATTTATAATATTCATCAACAAAAATAACCCTGGTGATTTTGATGCATCGCAAATGATTAAAAATTTGTTTGAAAAATATGCAAAGGTAAAAGGTCATAAATGTGGAAAATGTAGACAATTTAGTCACTATGCAAGCACATGTATAGATTGAATAACTTTTATTTATTAATGTAATACTTTCAACTGTAATTTGTAGACATGCTATGAATTTAATATTAGGCTCATCTAAATTATTGTTTATAAACACTTGGGTGTCTTAATATGTCGCATTTACTAGTTTAAATGGTTGGGTATGGGTAAAGAATCATAGATATTTGCAATTTGAATCGTTATTAAGTATGTAAGATTGTATTATTTTTATAAATAGATTCTATATGTTATGTATGCTTCTTTGTAATTATAATAAATGAACGCAAAAATTTTTATGCCGATCTTTATTATTTTATATAGTAATGGTACCACCTGAGTATTATACCGGGTATGAATAGTATTTGAATATATTAATATATAATTATTTCGTAATTATTTTATGGATACTTGTAATTATTTAGATATGTTGTATGTGAAATTGAAATATTATGGAGTGGGGTGAAATTCTGATTGGCTAATTTGAATTTCACACATGTAAATTTGAATTTCACATATGTGAATTGCGAATTCACATAATTTCATTTTCATGTACAACAGATACACGTAATTATTTTGGATAATTGTATTTATTTTTTGATACTTGTATTTATTTGACATTTTTCAAAGATAATAAAGATAATTTGTATTTTTACAACAATTAAAATAATTGTTCATTAAACATTTTCATTAAAAAGGAATTCTTTCAAAACCCAAATGGAATCTGCAGAAAAAAATTTCCTAATCTACCAATTTTATAAATCATTTTTAAAATGTCATAACATTCTAAAAAAATGACGGTAATTTTTTTGATTTGTATGATGATATAATTTATTTGATATAACTTGGAAATGAACAATCAAATTGATATAAGATGTATGACGTCCAAAAAGGAACTTTATCGATTAAAGAACAAGAAAAAATTAATAATATTTTGTTAGAATTTATATAATATCTGAAATAATGAATAATTACGAGTATCTAAAATAATTGCGAGTATCATAATAATTGCGAGTATCCAAAGTATTTGAATAAATATTCGAAATTCGTAATTTTGGATTACGAATATTCGTATAATTGCGGTTAGGAACTCTATGCTGATACTATCATCTCTAATCTGCTGAAATCCCTGTGCAATTGTTAAATAAAAGAAATGTAACTAAATTTTATTGCTTTTACAAAATATAATAATTACTAGTTTATCGTTATTATATCATGCATCGGTATCTAGATCAGAAAGGCAAAAAAGAAACCATTCACCCCTAGACTCCGAATAATCTATATCTCGGAATGTGATGGAGAAATTTTTTTGCACTTAAAAATCATTTACCGTATTAATACAGTAAGTTCTATAGGATATTAAAAATATCGTAATAAGTAATTGATTAATGATGATTTGTTTTTAGCTTTTAACAGATAATAGAGAGATATTAAGAGAAAGGTAGAGCCAAATGTGATGCTTCAATGCCTAAGGAAGAAGCCAAAATTTTTGAATGTGCGCAACTTGTAACTAGAAACTTGTAAGTGAAGGATTCATGTCGTTTTCTTTGCATTATTAATGATTTATTTGGTACTTTGCAGGTTTTTTGAATCTATTGTCAAGCAACACTGGTATTATAAAATAGTTATGGTTACTCCACTACTACTACTGTGAATAGTTTCGGCTACCGTAATTCTGTAAAGATGCTTGGCTCCATAATTACGAATGGTTACGTAGTTATTTATTACGAAGCATTTATACAAATGTGCCTGATTGTTAAAATAAAATTCAGATTATTGAGGCAGTTTAAATAGAATTAATGGCTTAATTCAGAAGCCAAAGTTTATCCACCCTCTATACAACAGTTTTGACTGAGTCGTGAGCTATTATTAGCTTGGCAAGAAAAATAGGCGAGTGGCGTAAAAATTTGAAAAGTAATCACAGACTTGGTTTACATCTTTAATTATTAATATTAATGGACATCCATCCGAAATTGTTTGAATGACAGACCAGTTAAATTCATCAATTTCAAGAAAATTTTCTGCAACAGCCGTATCTGTTTGCAAGTGTCTTTAGCTCCATTTGTATAACTTCGAATGGATTATATGGTGGATTCTTTCTGTCAATATTCAACTTTGAAAAAAACAAATAACCCTTTGATTAATTATTGTCAATCGAGCTTTGGATTTCTTTATATATAGTAATGTTGATTGATAATCTAATAATGAGAAGCTCATTCCCCAAAAAAAGCATGCCTGGTTTGAAATACCTTTGAATCTATCTAATTGAAGGAATAAAATCTTTTATTTTGTAATGACCAATTTTTAACATTCTTATTGATTTCTGGATGTTTTGGTAAACACCACCATTTAAGAAAGAAATTTTTTCCAAACATCAATTTCAATATTATCACGAACTTTCTTTATATAGATCCTTCAGTTGGCTAAATTTCATTGGTATAAACTAATTGTAGTATTTTAACTTATCATTTATGTAGTCTTATTAATCTCCACAAAATAGTTCATTGCATAATTATAAAGCAACTCAAGATCAAGTTCATTTGTTGCAATTAATAAGTTTGATATTCAATTTTACAAATATAAGGAAGGATGCTGCTGAAACTAGGTTACAACCCAATTTTTACATGACACAACTATGGTTACAATCAAAAGTTGCAGCATTCATAATTATTATTACTTTTACTCGAAAATTGGTTTAGAAACTAGTTCATTGATATTTTCCTTCTTGAGAATATAGTCTCCGTTTCCTTTCCCCGCATTCTTAAATACAAACAACAAGTGTTTGGAATTAATGAATGTGCATATATATATTTCTTTGGCATTTGGTTCTTCAACCACTGTAATCCCCTCCTGATTCCAATAATTTTTCAAAGTCATTACAGTAATGTTGGTGCTGCGTTAATAGCATCCGTGAGTTATAAAAGTGAGATCGAAATTGTTTAGTTAAATTCTTTTATTTAGTTGGTTGATACAATCAAAATATTTAATAGAAATTATCACATAAAAGAATCATCCATTTTTATTAAGTCAAAATTTACCCAAGGGGGTTGTAATGGGACTCTGAAAACTTTAGAGCTATCAAAGAAATCAGGTTGCAATAAAAACAAATATGAATTATTGAAATTAGAATAAAAAAGAATTGCAGAAAGCTTGTTAGTTGATAATAAAAAGAAAAAAATACAATTATTCAAATCAATTTCTATTGACAACCAGAATATCAAGAAAAAAAAAGTAATCTATTCAATTAATGATTTTGAAGCTTATGGGGGGATAAATAAAGATAGTATTGACCAGTTGAAGATGTAGGATTGAAATAAATAGTGGTAAAATCAATTTAAAGAAAAATAAAGAAACTATTATGATTGAAAGAGAGGTTGTATATATCAAATAAATAATAATATAATACAGTAATGATTAATAATCCTGAAAAAAAAAGACAAAAGAAAAAATAATGATGATAATAAGAAAATGAAGAAATAATAAATAATAAGAATTCTCCCCTAATTCCGGTTAAAAATTTTGATTTGTGATTGTATTTTTGATCATTTTAATTTCTACTAATTA